GCTCTGCTTGAGTTGTCGATATTGTCGGAAGTTAGACTTCTAAACTTCCTTCGATAAACTTAGAAACAGATGTTCATAATATTGCTATCAAATGGGGAAGGCATGCATCACCATCCGATAATGGTGATAAGGATTAAAGAGTAGACTTAACATTTTTTGCAACATTTAGTTTTAAAAGTTTAGTTTTATAATTTAGTATATATGGAAGAACATTTAGCGAACATTGACAGTAGTTTAGAGTTGTTGTTTCCAAGATTAGAAAAAGTGTTGGAGCAAAATGAAAACATATTGAACATCTTAAAGAGCATGAATATTAAACCTACATCTAATAACAATAACAATTACCAAGAAAAAGAAGTAGATAGAGACAGTAGCGAATACAAAAATAAACGAAACATTTATGTTAAAAAACTGAATGAAAAATCATAAAAGAACCTAAACAATCAAGTCTGGATTACTATCAAGTCAAGTATAAAGAAGATACCAAGAAATACGTTTAATCATTAACTAACAAAGTTTCGTGTCTCAAAAGCGGTTTGCTTATTCCTGCTACTTTGTAAGTTTTATTACCCATAATATCATATTCAATTTTATCAATATTGAAAATTTTATTAGACCATTTAGAGTTATACTCCTTTCTGTCGGTGTAATTACCCCTTTTCTTTTGAAACACTTTTACCTTGTCGTTCTCCTCTATTCTGGGATACTTTCTTTTGTTTTTTCTCGTAGTTTAAGATTGACCTTTACATATATTTCATTGTCGTCCTTGTGTGCTTCAGACGGTGTCATCCTTGTTGATGAGTGTGATGTGCTGTTATACTGTTTCAATGCTGGCGTTAGGGCGTCGGTCCATTTCATGTTGTTAAACCTAACTCTATCGTGAATTTTGTTTTTCATCGTTCTAATAAAACGCTCGGCCACATTTGCGTGGGTCTTCGTGACGATGTGGTTTATTCCTTCACTGTTGAAGAAATCCTGAACTTGATTTTTAGTTGCAAACGCTCCGTCGTCATCAGAATACACGGACATCGGATAACCCATCTTTTTAAAGCTTGCTCTCAACGCCTTCAAAACGTGCTCTCCGTCTCTTTCCTCCATCGGTATTACATCTGCTAATTTACTGAAGATGTCAATCACGACTAAGCATACTGTGGAACGTTCTTGTCCTTTGCTAAAGGTGACATATGCATTATGTCTATTTGATATTCATATCGTGCGAATGCAGCGGTATAGGAATTAGTACCTCTATAATTTTTGATTTGTTTATTTGGTTGTTTCTTTAAGAAAGACTTTACATCGTCTAATGTTATTGTTGGGTCTTCTTCCCTTGCCTTCTTGTGTGTCGCTTGTGTGCTTCCGAAACCCACGTCTAAGTCGTAATAGATGTTGCTGATTATTTGGTCTTTTGTTAATCTCGCCATTATATTAAATTGTTAGAAAATATTTTTTCAATATAAACCCCCACCCCTTAACATAAAATAAAAACTACTTAAAGAAAATTGATATAATATAGTAAGAGAAAAAATGACACTGTTTACTTATGATAATTGTCCTTGTAAAAATAAAAAATGTAAGTCTGTCGTGGCACTAGCTAATATTTTACATGTTAATGTGTGTAATCTTATAGGTGGCTATATTAGAGTAACATGTTTTGATTGCTGGTATTTGATGGATGAAGAAGAACATTTTATGAGAGATAAAGACATTCCTGAAGAAGGACTGGAAAAAGCAGAACTTCAATTACAAGTTATTAAACTAATGCAAAATAATGTTTTTACACTACTAGCAGAAAACCAATATAGTATAAAAGTTGGACATTACAGAAAACACATTGACCGAGTATTTGATATACAAGAAGTTAAAGAACGGTTTAAAAATAGAAAAATGTATTATCAAGCATTAAAATCATACTGTAAGAATAATGAAAATGAAGTTTGTATCATTTTAAGAAAATGTCTTGACATTGAAGATTTAAAAAAATTTAAACGTTGTGGGTTTAGCTTTCCAAAACTAAACAGTTGGTGGTCATATAGAAATAACAATTATTATATGAGATATATTCTTAGCGAATTAATTGAAATTTACACAGACCAATTAATAAACGGATACGAGCATTATTGTTGCGAGTATAGTATGACTTGTTATAGTGGTTGTATCGCTGGTGAGATTGAATACGGGGCAAATTAACTTTTGTTTATTAATATATTATTATCTTATAATATGATTAAACATTGTTTTATAATCTAACAAGAAGGTTAAGACATTTAAATTAAACCTGATTAAATTAAACCTGAAACCCAGACCAGCCGACCAGCAACCCCCTAGCCAAAACTACTTAAAGAAACATTACATTATATATAAAGAGAAAAATGAGTGAGGGTAAAATGTCAGATAATAATTTTATGGTTGAGAATTGTGCTAGCTTACCTATGGAAGCATTGTTAAACATCGCTTCTTATATGATTGGCAATGAAGGGTGGCAAAGACTAAAACAGTGTAAAGCATTAAGGGTCTTACAAAGGAAATGGAAACCGTCTATTTTTGAACGAGAAGGAGAAAGTAGATATTATGTGTTGATTAGCAATATATGTTTGAAAGGTGATAAAGCACTTTCATATGCGTTGAAACCACCAAAAGAATTATTAAGAATGATGAAGTATGATGAAGAAATAAAGGTTGGAATAGAAGTTAGTTCGAAAATTATGTATAAGAATAATATTTGCAACTGTAGTTATTATGCATCAAGCAAACAGAACAAGATAACAAGTAGAGCGTCATTACAATTTTATATTGAAAAAATAGTTGAAGAAATAAAACAGACTATGAAACGAAACGAAATCATTAGTATAGAACATATTACAGATTGAAATTTATACATAACAGAAACAATGATTTCATGGCTTAATCATAATATTGAATTATAATATGATTAAACATTGCTTTATAATCTAACAAGAAGGTTAAGACATTTAAATTAATCCTGAAACCCAGACCAGCCGACCAGCAACCCCCTAGCCAAAACTATTTAAAGAAATATTACCTTATATATTAAGAGGAAAATGAACGGTGATGGAATCAATAATTATATCAATAAAAAATGCTATGATTGTTGTCACTTCAAAAAAGAAAATATGGAATTGTATAAATTTGGAATTTACCTAATGAAATAGTGAATAATATTATTAATTATTCAATGGATGAAGAAGACGAATGAAAAGTTTGTCAGGAATGGAGAGATAATCAATTTTTAATCAAATGTCTGTTGAGAATAAAAGGAAGACATAATAGAAATGTAGAAGATGATATGTTAATATTTCTAACTGTAAATAAAATACCACCTTACGATTATGTTAAACAGTTTCTTAAAATCAGTAAGAAAAATATGACATGATTTATGATATATTATGGATGTTGGGTTATAGTCAAGAGAAAGGAGAAGATGTTAAAGAAAATATCAAATTATTTATTGAAAGTAAAAAGTTTAATGTTCAGAATACAGTGAGAGATGTTAATATTATTTTTAAAATGATGTATGAAAGAAGTAAGACAAATCAATTAAATTATTACCCTGAACTGAAATTATAATCATAATATAATAATAACATGTAAAATCTTATATGTTATAATTATACTGAACTTTTAACCTATAAATCAAAATTAGTGAGAAAACACCAACAAAACAAATACACCACCAACATCCCAGAACTTGATAACTACTAAAAGGGTTAACTCTTTCAAATGAAAAACATGTCGGCCCCCAGCCCAACAATGAACAAGGCGACAATTTACCCAAATGATTACCTTAACGAAAACGATATATAAGCTCCCCGAAACACCCCTTTTAAAAACGAATAAGGGGGAACACAGATTTGAGATTAACATAAAAACCAGAACAGGCAACCATCAACAGGCCACCCCCTGGCTAGCCCCTTTTTACAATTTTTTCCCCCGCCCCCCCCCCCGAGCCGCCGAGGAAGAGCTGGCGGGCCCGGAGCCTCCGAGGCATCTGGGGGGAGGCGCTGAGATCCATCTCCGCTCTAATCGGGACCCAAACCAGACATGCCCGGAGAAGTCCCCAGCCTTTGAAATCGCCTCGCAACCTGACAAAAACTCCACAGAGAAAATCGCCCTGCAAGAGACTTCTCTAGACTCTACTCTTTCAAATACTCAGACGTGGCCCTCTGGAAAAGGAGGTTTCTCTTTCACGGGAGAGATCATCAGACCCCAATATTCGCTTTGCGAGTGCAGTGCACACGCACTTACGCCTATTTGCTTTGGGCAACAGAATGCGGGCCTAAACTTCATGTTCGCTTCTTCTGTAAACAGTGACATCGGTGGTCTCGACCCGCCCATATTCTGGTCGCATGGAACGGCCGCGTGGTCTGAAACAACCCCTGTGTGTTCGGCACCTCCCCCCATATGCCACAAGGTGTTGAGGCTTCTTCCTTGTGGCTCAAAATGTCCTCCACCCCAAGCCCAACCCTCAAGCTCAATCTTATCCGCGCTGAGTCCTGTGAACAGCTTCTGCATCTCATCCCAGTTGTCATCCTCCTCCTCGCAGGAAAGCTTCAGAAAGCCCCTTGCATGCAGGCCACTGATTCGCAAGAGTGGCCAGAACTTGGTCATTCGCGTTCTTTTCCGAATACCCTAACCAGCACAAAATGGAATGATGCGCGTCTGCAGATTGGAGCCCATGCAAGTCCTCCTCCTCGTCCCACATGGTGATCACGTCTTTGACCCAACGGCTGCAGAAATTTGCACCGGTGAAAAAAACTCAAGCAGCGCAGGCAATCAGAATTCGTACATTATTGCCAGGGTCATGCGGGACCTTCTTTTCGTTGTTCACCTTTAGTGACCTTGTCCCGCCCAAGCCCAGCTGCTGTGATGCGCTCTTTCCAAAGATGATGGGACCCTGCTTTGCTTAAATACTTATTTTAGAAAAAAGGCCACAAGAAGGGTCCAAATTTTCAAAAACACCCATGCTGCATGCCCATGCTCTTGTTGTCTTTTGCTGCCACCGCTCTTGGACAGCTCTATGACGCTTCGACCTCCTCCTTCACTTCGCTGTCGTCCTGTCGCACAAGGCAGCCTTCTGAGCAGGCCTCTCAGATACTTGCATACTGCCAATGGATGCACGGGCTCCATTCAAACATCATGTCAATGCGTGTAAGAGACTTGTCAGGACCTCGACCACGAGAATTGAATCCGCCGACATTGTTCGGCCTGTCAGATACCTAAGAGAGGATAGAGGATAACCTCCCCCTTAGTCCCCCTCAATTACGCAGGGTTTCGGCCCCCCCCCTCCGACCGCGCGGCAATTTGATGACGTTCCACTAAACGTAGTCTTCGGTGAGCCGGTGTGGCAAAACAGGGGTCCCAGGCTCGATTCCCCCTGCCGGCTCTTTGCTGGTTTGGGGTTCCTGCCTCCTTTTGCCGAAAATCTGGAAAAACCCTGTGCTTTTGGATGTCCTAATTGCGAAAACGCTGGAAAAACCGTGTTTTTAGCGGCAAATATTGGGGAGCAAAGCAAGGAAGTGCAAGGAAATGAGGGGAGGAAATAGGAAGTCGACATGACAGGAAAGCAGCGGGACACGAAATGGAAACCAAGGGGAACTGAAAGGGACATGCAAGGGACAGAAATGAAAACAAGGGGAGTGCAGGGGGAAGGAAAGGGAAACAACGCACAAGGAAACCAATCGGCACAACGGGAGATGTAGGGAAATGACTCGCAACGAAAGAACGGGACATACATGGAAAAATGTCAGGGACATGAAGGGGGGGTTGAACGGCATGGAAGGGACAGGACCAGGACATCATGGGAAACGTGAAAGGACATGAAGGGGAAATCAAGGGGAAGCCAGTAGTGAGATGACAGTTCCGGGTCATGCAGGGGTCGTGCCCGGACATCGAGGCAACGCAGGGGGGGACGTGACTGCAATGCAGAGAGAGAGAGAGAGAGAGAGAGAGAGAGAGAGAGAGAGAGAGAGACAGGGAGAGAGCGGGAGAGAGGGGGAGAGAGAGAGAGAGAGAGAGAGACACAGAGAGTGTGAGAAAGAGAGAGAGAGAGAGAGAGACAGAGACAGAGCCAGAGACAGAGCCAGAATCAGAGAAACAGAGAAAGAGACAGACCGAGAGAGCGACAGCGAGAGAGAGAAAGACAGAGACTGAGAAAGAGAGACACAGAAAGACAGAGAGAGAGAGAGAGAGCAAGAAAGTGAGAGAGTAGAGAGGTTCGAATTAGGCTACCCTGCTTCTGTAGAGGGGCGTGGACAGGAATGAGACAGGGAGACAGAAAGAGACACAGAAACAGAGACAGAGAGAGAGAGAGAGAGAGAGAGGGAGACAGACAGAGAGAGGGAGATTGAGGAGAGAGATGCTTGGGGGGATGGGGAGGGTGGGGAGCAGAGGGAGGGAGAGAGGACGACAGAACGCACGAGGGAGACAAGGCAGAGAGGAAGAAGAAGAAAAGGGAGAGGACAATGTCGGCGGACTGAGCTGGAGGCTCTAAAGTTTAGGAGGTTGTCGAGACCTGCAAAGCCAACCACTCGCCTGCGTCAGGGCCGCTCCCTCTGGAGCCGACTCCGCGTCGACAGCACACGTGCCCTGAGACAAAGAGAGGCAACGAGAGGCGACAGGCGACACATGTGGCAAAGTGACTAGCCCTCAATGGGTACAAACGGGAGCCGAAACCTGCTTGTCCGAGGTTTAAAATTGCAAGTAAAACTCTGAGAAACAGGGCATAACTCTACACTGATGTGCAACTAGGTCGAGCAGCTTTTAGGAGATTTGGTCTCCTCCGGAAAAGAGCGACAGGGTCAAGCAAATGGCAAGGGGGCATGATCAATAGCTGGCCGTTCTATGTCAGTGACAATGATCACAGTCACAAGAGTGATTCAGGGAAGCCCTTGTAAAGAGTCCCCCGGTACCTTAAACCCTCTTTGGACGGTGGCTTTGTCCCTTTGTTGCTGAACCTCGTGTTGAAGGGCGGTTCCTCGACTTGGGTCAAGGGTGCCTGAAGATTTCCAGTTTGGGAGCCTGAAGACTCTCCAATCAACCATATCCCATTTGGCAAGCAGCACAACTGAGGCCAACTCCGCTGGTTCCGTCCAGGTGCTCGTTCGACGGCGCACCCACTCGTGAAACGGGGTCTGCACAGGTATGAATTGACCATCTGGAATGACCCTAGAGATCCAAATGTAGCCAGTTTGCACCTGTCCAGTTGACACTGCAGCTTTCATGACTTGCCAAACATTTGGAGGCGTCCATTCCTGGTTTAGAAAATCTCTGATCGACGCCTGCACGTACTTTTGGTACAGCCCGGCGAAGGACCACAGAACCAGCAGGTACGTCAGGAAGACCTGCGAACAGGAAATTCAGAAACAAACGCTGCCTGAACTTCCCGAGAGAAGGAGTGTAGCAAATGAAGGGTGCCAACCAAAACCCAGCGTCTGCTGGTTGCTCAATCGGGAGATCAAAGGGCTATCTTGAAGCCCCACGTTTAGCAGTGCAACTTCCATTGAGGAAACACCCAGCTGGGTGGGGGCTTGCCAATAACCCTTCGTCTTGATTGATGGGTGGTTTGAGGGGAAGCTGATTCTTTTGGGGGCCTCTCTTTCCCACCCAGTCGCTGTGTACCGGGAATCGATTGTGTCCATCAACAGAAGATACGGTCGAGCACCAAGTAACACATGTCGGGGGCTCTCGTGCACGTTGACCTCTTAACCATGCCCGTCATAGTTGCAACCAGCCGGTTCGCCAAACAGATTCTTGTCCGTTTCCCCAATGGACCCCTCTTTACTTCTGTTGTGCCACAACCAGACAGTCGTGCCGAGTCGCAATGGTGTCAAGTCACATTGTCATACTAGTCATGCCACCTAACCACAGGAACGAAACCTGAAACTTTCGGAACCTCCATGGAGGTGCTGTCCAGGAACAGGTCGAAGGTGTCGCTCATCGGCCTTTGGAAGATGTACACCTGCGCCGGCGACCCAAAAGAAACCCCGCCAGCGCGACATCAAGCCCAGGCCAAGAACAGTTCGCATCTTGCGAGCTCTGAAGCTTCCGGTCCTGTGAGGTCTCATACCCTTTGCTATGCGGCATGTTCCCTTCCGCTCCCTCGGCCCCAGGCCTCGAAGCTCATGACCCCCAGAGAGGACAGCGCCTCAAGGACCCAACATGCGCGAGTTTTCTATGATCAGGGGGGCCCTGAATGTTTTTTTTAATGTTTTCCATCCGACCCCAGAAAACACGGTGACCCGGTGACCCCAGTGGAGGGGTTGTGTGTGTGTGTGTGCCTTGAAAACAGCGACGGCTGCACTCTTGGGTTTTGTTGAGCTAGCTGAAGGAAGCCCTCAATTCTGCATGGCCAGTGTTGTGCCAAACATGACAGCTTCGATGCCTGAACAACTGCAAGTTTGCAGATCCTGCGATGCCTTCAACGGAAAAACTGGCAAGTCTAGACGTATCCGGGACAGCCTTTGTGATCACCCTGCATGTGGGCGTCCTACATTCCAGAGTCCCCAGAAAAACAACAAGAAGTCAAGAGCCTTGAGTTGCAAACTACTAGTCAATCAGTAGCCACCAGTGTGCCTGTGAATCCATGGTTCCTTTCCAGGCAGTTCTGCTGCAGCGTCCCCAATTTTGGACATCACCTAATGCCAGGCTCATCTGTCCCACCAATCCCCGCTGAAGCCCCTCCGCGTCACGAGGATTTCTGCTTGGAATGGGCGCAGCACGCGCTGAAGAACTTGGGGCGAAGCAATGCAAACATCACAGGGCTGTGAGGAAGTGAATCTGCTGGATCAACGAACCTAATTTATAAAAACAACTTCTAGGGGCACCATAAGGAAGTGAACTATCCCCAGTAGATAGGTGACACCCCTATGAATTGGCCGGGGCTTCAAAATCCAGGACTCCCACCCAACGCGGCTCCTTGGGAAACTTGAGTTATTCCTCTTGATCTGCTTTCCCTCCCAGACCCGTTGGCACAATGCTCAGCCAACCCCTTGAGTAGGCACATCCCCCGTTCGTCGGGCAAAAACGACATCTGTTTCTTTGACAACCCCTTCAACGACCATAGGACCATAGGTGTCCTTTGGTACAATAGATGGCCCTGGCAAGTGCAACAAAGCCAATCTAAACCAGTGCATCTATTTCCAACCAAACTAGCCTGAGAAGGACACCCCATGTCACTGACCTTTTTGGCTTCGGTCTTATGTGGCTCACAGTACACGGTGTCCGGCTCAAGAGATCTCCATGGTCCCGAAGCTTCGCATGCAAGCTTCGGGTGAGAAACGCAGGGCCTGGAGAATCCCGGTGTTTTCCTGCTGACTTATATGTTGCGGTATTTGGCATCCCGTTGTTCCGTGATGTTTCCTTTGCAACTAAGGAGCGCCATCCATATTAACTCGTAAGAGTGAAACAAAAAAACAGAATTTACCTGTTCACCGACCGCCTGCAGGACATTAAGAGACCCAAAAGGTTCGTAAGATCTTCCCTGGGCTCTCCGCCAAGTCCCATGTTGCCCCTCAAGGCTCCGGCTTTGTGGCCCAGGAGCTGGCCGAAGCCTGGAAAGGATCCGCAAAATTCTCCGAAAGCTGAAGTATGACATGGATCCCGAGCTTTACATCTCCATTTGCCTAAGTCCCCTGAAAAAAATAAAAATAAAATCCACCAGTGGTTCATTCCCTTTAAAACCAACGGGGGAAAATAAAAGATATTCTTAACCAAATGGAAGTCATGGTCTCGTCTACACCCCAAATGAGCTCGCTAGAAAATAGCCATCCCCAGGAAGGCCTTGTGGGGCGTTCAATCAGCCAGATTCACATGGAACCCAAACAAGCTGCATTTGTAGAATCTGCTTTTGGCATCAGACACCTTTTTTTGTCGATTTGCAGCAGCACACCCCTCAGAGCAAAGGAAGGTAGGTAGAGGGGGTGTGAATGTCCAATGTGCCAAATTCCGATTGCCTTCCAAGGATGCGCTCAACTCCCAGTAGCCTTGTGGTACGTAGTGAGCAGCGGCCTAAACCCCTTGACTGTTGACTCTACCAACATGGTTATCAACCTTTGCCTTAGCCCTTCTGAACCGCATCGATTGGAAGGGGATCCGGCCTCCCCATCGTCCCCAAAAATAAGCCAGCGAGGGGCTTCATGAAAGCCAGCGGACAAAATTTCACGGAACTCCCCAAGACCTAAGGACAACCCCAGAGCTCATTCCGAGCTTCAAAACGGCCCGGGAGGTTTTCTAAACATCGTTGGAGACAGTAAAATCCTATACAAATGACTGTCCACTCAGGTGTCTGATCACTGGAAGGATTTGTCAAGGGAACTCATCTAGCCAAGCAACTGGGCATTGCTGTAGTCATTCGGTGCGGAATCCGTTCTCTTGGAGACGAAGCACCAAAGGAAGCTCGTGGGACATTGGAACAGAAGGGGCTGCTGCGCAAATCGCCCGAATGATCATACAGCGGCCTGCAAAAACCTCAAACAAAAGAAGCCACCAACAGAGCTGAGGGGATTCAACGACACAACAGATATCAAAATGTAGAAACCGGGCACGCAACCGGTCCACTCATGCAAGCGGACTCCCTGTGGAAACAATGCCCTCTTCGGGTTTCCATGATAGAGGAGGTCTGCGTTCGGTGAGGGTCCCGTTACCGACAACATGTGAGATTGATATCACGACCAACCTCGGAAGCGACAAGGCAAACATAAACACTGACCTGGAGACGAAACTCTTCGAACCACAACAAGAACCTTCTGCAAAGCACGGTGAGCAAAGGGTGTCGCGTAGGTGCCATTGGACATGGGATGGGGGGGCACACAAAGGGTTCAACAAGTCAACAAGGCCGCACAAAGAGGATTCTGTGGGAGGTGGTCAGAAGGCAAAGGGGCGGACTAGGGCGGACCCCGTTGCATCGGCACGGACCCCGAAGGTCAACACCGGGAGGTGACACTTGAAACGGGTTTGCACATCCTCCTCCCCCCCGCATCTCAGCCCCCGCGCACGTGGGCTCGTCGACGGCACCAGCGATGAAGACTGGCAAGGCTGGATCACTTTTGCAGAGAGTCAATCGACTCAAAGCCGGTGCCACACTTGCAACCAAAGACCCAGGAGCCTCACTGTCCGGCAAAAGACCCTTGTTCCTTTGATCCTTGTCTCCGCTTCATGATGGGTTTACCTTGGCTCCCTTCAACTTCAACCCCAGAGCGTGGGGCCTTCCTTCGCCTGTCGAGGTCACACCCTTGTCCCGTACTGATGCAACGCGATACTTAGAGGAGGGCTACACATATATGTATATATATATATACAAATGTGTATACGGATAGGGTTATGCCCCCCATTCTCAATGGACCCTTCTTTGGTCACACAGGCACACACACACACACACACACACCTGGAGTCGCCAATCGCCAGTAGGTTGCTCTCAGCTTTCCTACGCCACATCACTACCTCTCGTCTCGCCTGCCATGAGAATCGAAAGGCCGTGGTCCAGCAGCGGCTCCCAGCCGTTCAGGTGGAGAGCCTGACCAGCTGCGCTCTGCAAAGCAAGCAAAAATCAGAGGTGGCGTTGTTTCCGAATGGGGTACACAATACCTAAGATTGGCGGCGCCTAGTTAGCTTCCTTGTCAACTTCGTTGTCAAGCGGTTTAAACAACATGCTTTTCCACGTTTTCCCCGGAGTCCCGGCAAGCGCAGTTCGACAAGCCGACCGAAAACATATAAGGCGCGCACCCAGGTGCTGGCCGGCCGCGGCAGCAGGAAGACGACCTCCCAACAAATAACCAAACCACGAAACGCCCGGCGTGCGTAAAAATACACGCATAACATGCATATATATATATATATACATGCATACATGGTTGCGCACTTCAGCCGTTGAGCTCGTCAAAAAATGTAAGGTCGGGCAAAGCAACACGCAGGCAGGGGAGAAAATCACAGGGCCCCCGGCAGAATTTCGAGAGGGGCCATCAGCTGAATTGAACTCTGTAGGAAGACAGCCTGCAGAGCACTTCATGTTGCATCCTAAATGGGCTGCCAAGCTTGGCTGCAATTCAGCATTACCTAGCTCCCAAAGCAACTTGCGAGTCTGCCACGACAACAAACCGCCTGGCCAAACCTTCTCGCGCAGTTTCGGCCTCTGCGCAAATAAGGGCTGGCAATTCAAGAACGCTAATATGAGTTGGCCGAACGCACCCTCAAACGGCACACCCCAAACCATCGCCCAAAGCTAGCCACAGGGGGTGGCTGGGTAATGCTGGGAAGCACGCTCCTCATTCGTTGAAGCTTCCGCAGCGGGCTGAGCATGCCCCTTCTAGCCACATCGCAAGCGTCAGAACTGTAGACGTTGCAAGAGTTCTCCGAAGCGCCGTGACTGCAAGCGGCCACCAACCTCAAGCACATACTCAGCTCTTCCGCAAGCGCGGGCGGAACCGAAAAATCAGCCGGCTTTGTGTGTGAGGTGAAACTTGTGACCTTGGGGTTCTGTGAGAACTCCTGGTGGGGCGAAGTGTTGGTCCGACCCCAACGGTTCCGGCAGGTGGCGCTGAACGGCCTCTGCAACGTCCGCCCCAGCACCAGCGCGTCTCGGGCGCGCCGCCCGCGCGGCTTCCCTGAATGTTGGGGATGCTGGAGCGGCATTCGAGCGCAGCGGAAGCGTACGCGGCAACTGTCCACACCAGGGCCAGCTCTCGAACCAAAGTCTTCGAGCGGGGCCTGGTTTTTTTACTGTTGAAGATCTCCGCTGGGTTCTCGATCAGGCTCTTCCGCAAAGCCTTCAGCACGGCGGCATTCTGCCGCTGCTTAGGTTGTCGCCGACCTCCAGAATCTGCTCCAAGCTGCCCCGCTGTTTGAAGAGACTATGGTAGTCAGCCGAACGCCGTCGCCTGCCCTGCTCTGGCCTCGCCCGTCCTCCGTCTGACTCAGGACATTCTCAGTCAGCTTGGTGTCTGGGTGATCTCCAAGTTGGGCAGGCTTCCTCCCCACCAGCTTCGCCTGTTGAGGCGTTGGAGCAGGACCCGTGCTTTTCCCTGCTTGCAGCTTCAAGCGCAGTCATGCGCTTCTGCAAGTCAAGCAGCCCCGTCGCAAGCTTGCTCGTCAAACGCTGCTCGCTTTGGCTTTCCTGCGGGTGAGCGCTGAGGAAAGCAAACTTCTCACCAGCGCTTCTGCAGATCAGACCGCCCCTCCTCCGAAACGAGTCGCAAGGTTACATTTGGTTGCAGACGTTTGGCTAGGGACCCCGCCCCAAAATCGCATCCTGCCAGCAGGGCGCTGAAGAGCGACAGTTCTGCGCCAAGCGCTTCCTGGGACAGCCACCAACAGTTTGTGGGTATTCCGAAGCAACCTGTTCCGTCACTCAAAACTGCTGCTGCCCTCTTCACTCCTGGCGTTGGCCGTCAGGCCAAGCCGCGCTGGCAGCAGCTGTCACTGCACCCGTCACCGACGGTGTTATCCAGACTTCCGAGATCCAGAAGGCGCGCTCGCTTGGTGAGGTCCTGGATCTGCACTTGCAAGTCAGAAGAACTGCGCTGCTGATCCAGGCCAATCCGCTTCCGCCCGCAGTCGCAGCTCCTGGTATATAGAACACGAGCACCTCCACTAAGGCGAAGACCGATAGAGGGTAGATGGATACTCCAGCTGCTGTAGTCCCGTAGCTCAGGCATGCCAAACTCAGACTATCTGCCAGGACCTGCAGGAACAGACCGCCAAGTCCACCTCCCGCAGCTCCAATAGTGAAGGGCGTACCTGCCATGCAATACCTTGAACCCCAAAAGCCTGCGCTGCCTGAAATGCAACATCATGCGAGGCATATATATATATATATATGTGATCCCAAGCTTACAACTCACCTCCAGCCCCCGTGGCTTGCCGACACTCCCATTCAGGACGACTGGAACGTCTTAGGTGGAGGAAGTAGGCATGAGGTATTGTCGAGTGTCGATTCGGGGCGCAGGTAATCTTCGGGGCTGGCCGCAAGATGAGGGTCGCCTTTTTTCTATGGTGCCTATTAAAGGAAGCTGCAAGGACAACAACAAGGTTGGGGGGTTCTTTCTGAGGATATAGCAACTCAGGAGCTGGGAGGATGCCCCAAAGTGGAAAAGAACCCCTCAAAACGGATGGGTTGCCTGGGTTTAGATTTGAAGAGCCACCAAAGACGCCTTTCCAATCTCAGGAGACACCGCTATCTGCCAAACATGTGTTTTGGGTCGCTATGAACGAATATGTTGCGCAGGGCTTCAAGTTACTGTACGACTGACAGCCATGCCTCATTCCCAGGCAGCGGTACAAGCGTCAGAAGATGCCAGGGTGTGGTATTGTCTCACCATCGACCATGCAACCTATGAAAAGTCACACCCCTTTCTAAAAGGCAACTGTTGCTCATCAGTGGGTGGGAGGGTAGTTGCTTGAGGAGTCTAGTACTTGCATGAACAGCTCCGAGCATCTACTGTAGGAATAAGCCGTTCTCAATTGCCCTTTGTCTGGTTGCAGTCCTAGAATGAAATGAACAACCAAAAATCCTAATTGTAAAAGGCCTTCCCCTTCCGTATGATCCTGTAGGAGGCTAGCCAGGCCAATTGACAAAATGCTGAGCTTGCCTGTCCGCAAGACAATGCACACATGAAGAATTCCCAATGAACCTATATCATGTGAGCTGGATAGATCCCTAGGTAAGCTTGTCATACTGGCCCAATTTGTTTCCCATTCTGAAAGTGACCCCAAGAGGTAAGCTCGAAGCACCAAGCTGGCGTTGAGGTACCCTACAACAAACAACACTTTCCAACAATGCAACTTACCTCTGAGGCAGCCACGAGCACAATTGCCAGCATGCTCAGGTCCGCCGCGAGAGGCAACCTATGCCAAAGTCCAAGCAACTCTGGAGCCTACTCACCTGCTAATGTTTAGTAAACCTAAAAGCAAAGACTTCATACCCCCAGGTAAGAGGATACGACCCTGAACTACTGGTGTAACACCCTGAAATTAGAGGGGCAAACTGCAAACAGTTCTAGGTGGCGGTTCCACGCAAGCTGGTACCTGTTCGTCACAACCGTTCAGGGCTGCAATTCCATACAGCTTGTGAAGCCGATGGCAGCAACTTAATGATCCATGACAAAGGGCAACGCAAGCACCAACAGTCTCCAACCGCATCAGAAAGGAGTTGTCAGGTGGTCCTAAAAGGAACCCTTCCACGACACCGGAGCCATTCTTTTTGCGCTACCTTCATGTTACGTGGCCAGAAAAAAATCGAATGGTTTGTCCACTCCTCATCTGCTCAAAAGATCTCAACCCTTGGCCCACCATCTCATGGAATGCCTGTGCAAGAGTACGGGAGACCAAAACACGACTCAAAGACTATGCAAGCAGAAAACACCCTCCACGTTCCTTTCAAAACCTCCCCTCAAGAAGCTGTGGGTGTACTGCGTGCCGGCAGTGGCAAATTCGCAAAGATAAAGGAGCTGCAGCATGCACAAATCCGTTGCATGCTAGGCAAGCAGCACACCAGCACCCGACGGGACAAACGTCCAAACAAGCCAGTGGGTCAGAACTGAAAGCACCTGACCACCTTCAAGGAACCGTCCTGTTAACCAAACCTCCGCCTACCATGCAACCTGCTCTAAATGCCAAGTTGCCTAGGCAGGCGTTGATTTTCTCCGCGGAGCACAATTTCCTGAGGCTTGGTCGCCAAATTGGTCGATACAAAGAGCTGTTGCCCCCACATCAAGGCAAATTAGTTGATGATCAAGCAACGGAAGCGTGGACGTGTTTACTGAGGTGGGGCCCAACTTGCAAGCGCAGCTGGCCTGGCGCTTCCCAAGTTCAAGCCAGGCGCCGGCCACGGCTTTACCCTGAAAACCGGGTCCAATTCGGGGAACGGGAAACATGGGCTGCGTCTGCAGCCTCCAGCTCAATTTTGAGCTGCATTGCTATCACCTGCGCAGAAAATGCAGGATTCAGGGCAACTTTGGCTCCGAACAATCCAACAAAACTGCTCCCCGTAGGCCTAAGACAGCCTAGGGGGTCAAGCCACCTCGGCCCAGATCTAAGGCCTAAGCTTTGAAGGTGTAGCGCGCGAAATACCAAAAAATACCCCAGCACCTTCCCAGAGCTGTATAGCTGAAGTGCCCAGGCCCTTGCTTGGGCCCGGCTGTGGCATGGAGAAATCCCGAGGGTCAAAAACGCGAACCGGATTCCGAAACGCGTCCAGGCGGCAGCCACCGTCATGCCCATCACGAAGTCGGCCATCTGGGCCGGCGGCCTCACAGCCGTCCATTCGACGGACGGAGAAAAAGCAAAAAGCGGGGGGCTTATTCCTGTGTTCACCCTGTGTTCACCCTGTGTTCCCCCTTTCTTGACAGTATCACCGTTAGAGGAGAAACCCGTTGTATCCTTTTCAAAGGGTGCTTCAAAACCAAGCGCAGAAGCGGAAATGACTGAGGCTCCTGGGACTCCTGTGTTCCAACTTTTGCCGCTTCACACAACTCCAGAGCGAGAACAACAATTCCGCAACCACGCAGTACGGAAGACCTTGAAGACCAGGCAATGAGAATTCGCTTGGAAGAAAAGAGGCTCTGCCATGGTCCATGGTCCAACAACGTCCTGGTGCAGTGCATTGTGTCAACCATGCCAAGCGTTGGAAGCATCCCAAGTCGCTGTTCTTGCAAGCTGCTTAAGGCCCCCCGAAAGCAGCGAACAAGACACACGCCAAGTCCGGCTGGGTCGCCGGCCAAAACATCATGTCCGCGTGCTGCTGCCTGAGCCAACCCAGGCTGACAACATATCCGATGGTTCTACCCCCCAGATTTCCAAAGGGCACCTGTTTGCGGATTTGGTTGTCTTGACGCGATTTGTACATACCTGGATCGTCTCGGGTTTTGCTTACTTCGACATAGCCTTGAATTCTCCTGTGCCCGTGGCTCATTCAGGCTCTGGCACTATCACCAGGGGCTCAGGGATCAAGCCTAACTTCGGGCGACCAAGTTGCATCGTGATGTTGCCCTCTGCTGCAAACAAGAACGCTGCAGGGCCTCGAGACGTTTCGGTCGAGTCAGGAACTGGGACCTGGAAGGTAGCAGTGTAGGTCCAGCTTCTGATTGCCAAGGTCAACCAGGTAGACCGGTGATTGATTTCCTGGAAAATCTACTCTGGATTCAAGTTATCCTTGCTGTAATCCAAAACGAACCCTATCTCCACCACAGGAACGCCGGCTACGTCTGGTTGCGTGTTGCAACATTCTGAGCCGCCCAGGGTCAGGAGCATTTAAAACATGTCAGATCGACAACCCACGCGTTTCGGCCACTCGCCAAAAACCCCGTTCCTTTCTGAAATGGGAACCCCCGTTTGAGGTGTGTTTTCAAGGGAAACAACTTGAACCATTCCTTTTGTAGGGTCACCCAAAAGCACAAGCCCCTGGCCAAAGGGAAGGCCTCTGCCGACCTTGAGACGCGCCCCCGCCTACAGACAGCATCCACAGACCACCCAGGAGCATACCAAGGCCATATCCTGCCACATCAATGCAGAAGTCTTGTTTGCTTGCGAACTCCTACACAAAGCTGGCAAGTGTATCCATGGTATGTATCCTTCACAAAGTGTCCGGTGGTGTACCGACTGTTTCACCCTGAGTCTGGTGAAATGGGGGGGCAGTACTTTGACCCTCCACTTGGTCCTTGCAGGTTCTCGTAGACGTACACGACCAGGTGGCGGGTGGCCGGGTACCTCGGAAAACTCGCGGCTTCCAACCACTTGAACCAAACCGGAACCCCCCAAAAGTCGCCTTGTTGGGAATCCCCTGCTGGGGATTAAAGCCCTTCCATGTTAACTAGCAGGGAATGGGCAAGATGAATGCTGATCCATGACCATACTTAAAAAAAGAGGCTTCGCAAAACAATTACAAGGACTTTGGGCAAATACAACGAGACAAAAAGTTTGACATGCGCGCCATGTGCAATCTCCTTGTGATTTGTACCGCGATCGCTTCGCTACGAGCTCCAGTCCCTACAATTGGCAGGTGTCCTGCGGCCTTCCCTGTCAAGACCAGCCACAAAATCACACACACACAGACACAGACACAGACACAGACAGAGACACAGACACAGACACAGACACAGACACAGACACAGACACAGACACAGACACAGACACAGACGCAGACGCAGACGCAGACACAGACGCAGACGCAGACGCAGACACAGACACAGACACAGACACAGACACAGACACGCAGACGCAGACGCAGACGCAGACGCAGACACAGACACAGACACAGACACACACACAGACACACACACACACACACACAACACACACACACACACACACACACACACACACACACACACACACACACACACACACACACACACACACACACACACACACACACACACACACACACACACACACACACACACACACACACACACACACACACACACACACACACACACACACACACACACACACACACACACACACACACACACACACACACACATGCTCAGCCCCTACCCACCCGCCACCCGCCAAGGCAAACTGGCAAAAGAACCCAAACAAAATCCTCGAGTGCTCCGAAACGCTCCTCGCATGCTCTTCCTGCATTACAACCATCATGCCCCGGGTTCACGTGCACCTTGAGTGAAACCCGAGAAGTGCGATTCTGAGCAACAGCTTGGAAACAATAACCAACTAGAGGTTTCACAAATCCAGAGGACTGTCCATGAGCCTCTAAAAAAAGCGAGGCCAACAACATCAAGGCCATTGAGTTGAGGGGGTCTGCTGAAAATTCATGAAGCGCGATGTCTCCACCCAGCACCCCAAGAAGGCTGTGACTGTTCTGGGCTCAAGGTCGGCAGTTCTGCGTGTTTAGGCGCGCACAGAAGCCAGGACGGCAGCAGGGCGAAGACGAACCACGACGGCCCGTTGGGGCACCTCGGGCCCGACACCGGTCGTTTCTTCGGGTACGTCAGAAGCAGAGGTGTTGCCTTTGAGACTGTGGGGCCAGATCCACCTAAAGCTCAGCATGCGATGCTGGCGATTCAAGTTTTGGAAGAGGCCCGGCTTCTTGTTGCTTAGTCGATCAGAAAGTTAATGCGCCAAAGTCAAAAACCTCATCTTTCTGCAACAGGAGGCAGGCTCGTCACACAGCAGCAAAGTAGTAGCGATGTTGAAACCAGGGTCCTTTAGACCCTGAAAAAAAGCGGGATCTACAAGAGTTGCAGGCTGCCGGGCCCCGCGCCAGTTGAACCACTGCTCGAGGAAGCAGGCGCACCGGAAGAGGTAGCCCCACCTAGCCAAGCATCCGGAAATCAAGCGACTGCCTTTTGGGCGGGTGACTCATCGACCAACGCCACAAGGAACGAAGAAGAAACTGAAGGGAGACAAAAGCTTCCAAAGGAGGTCAAACAAAAAACCCAACGGACGAATTCGGAAGAAACCCCAAGGAACATTTAAAGAAATGCAAAAAATGCAAAGAAATGCAAAGAAACCACTAGGAACCATAAAAAAAAGAACCCAAAGGAAGCCCACAAAAAAGGGAAGCATCCATGGACACCCAGTGGGAAAGCAAAGGGGAAACCCACGGAAAGGAAACCCAAAGGACAGACAAAGGAACACCCTCCCAAACCAAAGGAACCACAAATCCGGAAGGAAGCCCCACAACCCATGCAAAGTAACCAAAGGGGGGGTCTTCACAGGGGGGGGTCATACTGCACCAAGAAGGCCGCACCAAAAAGCAACCGAGTCCAACCTTCCGCCCTTTCGGTTTGGATCAACTTCGCTGAGCTGCTCCAGCGGCTGCCTATGGTAGGCCATGAGGCCCACAGACCACGCCAGCGCCAGCCAAAAGGTCAGCAGCACCCGACCCAAGCGCCGCACATAGAACTGCCTCGCTCACGCACATTTGTAGCAGGGGCCATGTGGATGCTTCCAAACATCAGCCAACCCCAGAGTTGACAGTAAATTGAGCGATAACCTGTTCATAAGCTCCTCCAAGTAGACTGCACCTT